GACTCAACAAATCAACACTCTATAGTTTGAGGATCATTTTGTAATTTTTAATAATTATGGGACTTAATAAAACAATAACCATAATCGGATACCATTTGTATACTTTATCCGAAATACTATTTATTAATTCTTTTCACTCTTAACATTGATTATGAAATATTTGAAAACATTTTTTTATTATTAATGATATCACTTTTTAATAATTAACGGCATTAATATATAAAATAATAAATATTATTAAGAAATGACCTAGAATTATTATTTTAGGAAAGAAATATTTAATTTAAAAATCTTAGTTATTTTATTATAGTTATTTATTAAAATAATATATTTAAAATATTATTTTTTTTAAATATATCTTTGAACCGTCCAATTATTAAGAAGTGACCTAGAATTATTATAATTATTTATTTTATTATAGTTATAATACTTTATCTAATATTTTATTAATTCGTTAATTCATATTAGGTATTACAACGATAAAGGTAATCCTTTCAACTCAATTTGTATTATTTATAAATGTCAAAATTCAAATCACGTACCTTACTTTATTGATATCAATATTATGTCCTGCACTTAATTGCTCAATGACATAAATTGAAAAAATTTAAGTTGGATGTTCATTGAAGAAAGGAGAATTACAACGATATTTAAGAAAAGAGAAAAATTAAAAGAGAAGACTAAAAGAGAGAATTAGAAGAAAAAAAATATAACATTATCAACAACGAGTTGGTCTATTTGGATGAAGCACTAGATTTCTTAAGCAATACCAGGAGTTTGAATCCTGATGTTTGCGAATGAAGCAAACTGAGTTGGGAGTGTCACTCTCACCTCTGTAATATCCGATCTGAATTAGTCGGTTGATAGATCATATATAAATGATTAATTAAAAAAAAGAAAAAAATGAAACATTGTTTCTATCTTCTATTACCCTACATATAACCAGCTGTAGTAATCAACTAAACCAAATCAATAAAGCCTTGGGATTCCTTCTCTCACATGTACTCTTCCTCACCACATGTGCGGACCTAGCCATGGTTGATGCGTGTTGCGTTGTAATAAGTTGTATTTGGGTTAACACATTACTTCATGCACAATAAGCTGTGGAGAACTTCTCTTTTTATTCTGCCGTTTGAGTCCAACGATAAAAGCTTGAAAACGTGGCCTAATTTATACTTCACAAACGTAGGAACAGCATGAGATCCGATTTTGATAAGTTCTGATTTAATTCGATTTTATTAGATCGATGTTTATGAAAATTTTGAATTTGCGTTGGGTCAAGTACTCAAATGTTTCAGAGTATAACGTCGGATCGAATCGTTTTAGTTTTAGGGAAGTACAAGGTTCTTAACCTTGAGGTCGTGGGATCGAGTCCCATGGAGGGCATTTCATAATTCGGAGGTCTCTTACGGAAGCTGCTCTCAATCTGGTATTGGGGGCAGCCTACTATCTTACCTCCCCCTTACCCCATATATATATTGGAAAAAGGGACAACCATTTTTTTAAAAGATAATTATAATAATATTTCTTTCTATCGGATTGAGCGAATGCAACAGTGATATGATTGTCATTTTAACAAATGACTTTCTAAAAGTTTGTACAAGAGATTTGGAGAGGATAACGATCGAGTTGACTCGATCAATGTGTAAAAAACTTGATTTTAGATCCATTCATTCGGTTCTTCATCTTAGTCTTAAGTATTTGATTCTAGTATATGTATTTGAAAATTGTCACATATATTAATTTAAAAATATAAATTATTAAAATTTCATCGATAAGTAACGATCTAAAAATTTAGTGTGAATACTCTTATGACCTAGATTATGTAAAACCTAGATGTGCCTTAATTGGGTTAGGTGAACCTACATTGGACTCGATAGATTAGGATTTGAGTCCAAAGTAAGATTAAAAAAAATGTGGCTTTTATTGAGAACTTAAAAGTTCGAGGACTTTGTGGGTGTTTTATTCATTTATGCAAGATATGTGTTGTAACTCATTTATGTGCATTTTATTGAACATGAATCAAAGAGGGACAAAGGACATACTGATTTCATATTGTCCTTCTTCAGCATTTCTTTGTCACTCTTTCTCTATTTTATTCCTTCTCAAAGAGTTATCTTTCTCATTTTAGTCCATCATTCATTTTATTCTAAGGTTGAGCTTAAGAACACCAAAAACAATAATCATAAAAAAACATTCTTCTCATAAAATTGTTTCAATATTCTACCGAAAGAGTAGATATACATATATAACTGGGGCACAAACCAAACGACCTCCGTACTAGGGTTGTGAGCATTCAGTGTTAAATGGTTGAGAGTTATATTCGAATAGATATTGCATTGTATTTAACCCAGATTGGAAAATATATATATATATCTGGACAAATATTTAAGGAAAGATAAATGCAACGATAATGATAAAAAAAAAAGAAGAAAGATTTCAATACAATGTTAAAGCAGTCGACATGCATAGTTGGTCAATTATTTAAGAACAAAAGTTGTTGATATATTGATTAAGAAGAAGAAGAAGAAAAGGTTGTAGAAAATTTCTTTTTCATACACTACAGAAAATTACATATGTTTAAATGAAGAATGTTATCAATTTATGAACCAACTTATTATGTTCTAGTAATTTCAGCTCAATGAGTGCTCTTGCTCATAAATCAACTTTTCCAAAAATCATATTTAACATTTGGCACCCATCGTTAAAACCTTAAGAGTGAAACTGACGTGTTACCATAAGATAATGAAACATCATTATTGGAAAAAATATTAAAAAAATATCATGTCAGTAGTTCTGTTAATTTTTTAACGACGAGATACCAAATTGAAACTAAAATTAAGCCTTATGTATAATTTTAAAAAATAATAAAGTTTAGGTACCAAAAGAAAATACAAATAATAGTTTAGATGCTAAACATTTAGTTTTTTATTATTTCATCTCTGTTTTATAAATAACAAAACTTAAGTAGTTTAACGTTAGCTTAATCACCTCCGATCAGTCAACGATATGTTTCCGGCCATCGATGATCCCGTTCTCACACACTTTATCTTCATTTTAAAATTGTACATTTTAAATGATTCAAACTTATGAATTAACAATATTTTATCATTTCAAACTATTTATTTCTTAGTTATAAGATTCTATTTTTGTTATTATATTAATATATTAAACATTGAATTGCATTTTATAATATCTTAAATTACTCTTTCAAAAATATTTAATTACATATTTATTTTTAATTGAGATTTAAATACAATAATTATATGCGTTTGTATAACACTTTAAATTATTTGTACAAATGATATAAATGATTAAAAGGATGATAATTACTCCTAAAGATATTAGACAGCGGGGGAATACAAGCTGGATTTCTAGGGCCATGACCCCTAAATCTAAAAAATAATAATTTAGGTCCTTAAAATTTTAAAAAAAATTGACATCCCGAACTTTAAATTTTTTTAAATATTTTTAATTAAATCCCTCTCATAATTTTTAAAAATTCTCATTAAACCTCTCAAGATTTTAAAAATTTTAATCATACCATAATTTTTTTTAAATTAAACTAAGCCTTCAAAAATTTTGAAAATTTTAATTTTTATTATTTTAAGTTGTCTCAAAACTTTATCACCACCAAATTCCGTCATTGATCTTAGATCCAAACACTGCTTCTTTTTCTTCCACCTTTGGGCCCACACGTTTTAGTAGGGCCACATCCTTAGGCTGCTACGCGTCCTACAACAATGCAGACGCAGAATGCACACGCTATCACTACATTTTCATTTATATTCAAAAAAAATTAAAAATTATTTAGAATATTAATATTTTTCAATTTTAATTATGAAATAATTTTCAGGTATTAATAAATATCATTTTAGGTGTTATAACAGAATTTCATAATTAAAATTGAGAGAATCAAAATCTCTAAAAAAAAAACTTAAGATTGTTTTCATTTTAATAAAAATATTCTGATGTTGAAATAACTATACTTCTTTTATTACCGTCCTCCTATCAATTTTATTTTATTTGTTATAAACAATATTTGATTTTTTTATTAAATTCTAATCATAAAAATAATATCTCAAAACTTAATATTTAATTTCGATTTATTAGAGTTATTAAATTGGAACCGAAATAGGTCAGATTTGAGTTTTTAATATTTTCGAAACAATATGATTTAAATAATTATAAGTGTATTATATTGAAGGGTAAATTACATTATTAATCACTGATTTATTATTTTTTTATTTTGATTAACTTTTTCATTTTGATTAGGACCAATAAAAAATTAATAATATTATTGATATTATATTATTAATTTTTTAGATTTATCACATTATTTTTTCTCCTCGTCAATAATCTACATGTTATTTTTTTATAATTTTATTTGATTAATACTATGGTGATACATGATATCATCTTATGAGCTAAATAAAACCTCATAAAATATATGTTGCTTGAGTATTATAGTCGAGACAGAGATTTTAAACTAAAATAATAAGAAGAAAATAACATTAGTGACGTTTCTTAAAAATAATTTGATAATTAAAATTAAAAAAAAAAGATAACAGATTAGTGATTAATAATGTATTTTATCCATATATTTTATGATTTTTATTTTTAAAATATATTTTTATTTTAATGGTCAAATGTTTAAATAAGGATTTAACTTTTAAAGTTGTTCATTAATCTACAACAAATCAAATAATTTTAGAATCTACTTAAACTAAATATAATCTTTCTCAACAGTTCGAGGACTTCTTGTAGGATTAACCCTAAATTAATTTCATTGGATGTTGAGAAGATGCATGAACTCTTTAACAGGAGAGGGGGCAAAAGAAAAAGTATTCAAAGAAGAAAAATACAATTCTTTATTAATAATATTTTTTAATTTAAAAAAAAAGGCAAGCAAAATGCTCGAGGAGGAGAGAAAATCAGATGCCTTAACTTGTGTTGGGCCCAACTAAGGGCCCTATATATTGCACTGGCATTCCCTTCTATATTTTCCACATTCTCATCATTTTTCTCCGCTACTTTCTCTCAATCCAAACAGATCTTCCCGAGAAAAAAAAATTAACAAGCTCAAGAGAATAAGAAAATGGCCGATCAGCTTACCGACGATCAGATCTCTGAATTCAAGGAGGCCTTTAGCCTGTTCGACAAGGACGGAGATGGTCCTTTCTCTCATCTCTCTTTTTTTTTCTTCTAATTTTTTATGTTGTAATTATTGCTCACGGTTTAATAATTTTCTTCATTCGATTAGCTCGGCTTTGTATGTCCTAGCGTCGTTTTTGTTTCTGGTTCTTAATTTCATTAATTTTACAATCGTTTTCTTTTGTTATTTTAATGAAATGATGGATCTAGGTTCCTATTTATGAATTCATTATCGACCTTGATCGTCAATTTCTATTTCATTTCTCTGATTTTGATGGATTTGGATCGTATTTTTATGGTATTTTTTTCTTCATTTTCATTACTGTTGACTATTCTCGGTCTTCTCTTTGAATTTATTGTATGACTTGTTAGTGTTAGATCTTTTAGATGCAAACATAACCTGGCTAGATTGGCTTTTTATGTGGTGAGTATTGCGTAATTTATGCTTGGGATTTATTGGTTTGGATTTAATTGTTATTTAATCATGATTAAATGTTTCATTCCCTTTGTGTAAGTTTTTTAATCTGATTAGCAAAGCTTCCTTGGATTTTGGATTTGATTCCCTTTTATTGATTCCGCATTTTGAACTTATAATGAAATATTATATTATTATTAGTTTACATGCTTGTTGCTGCAAAGCATTGATGCACTGTTTCACCCTGCAAATTAGCTATTATGGTTGTACTTAGTATACTTGATTGTTATGAATCTAGGATCACAAATTCACAATGTGGATGGCTTTGGCAAGTCATGAGAATTCAAGACCTTCTATGGATGATTCAATCAATTAATATTGTGATATGTTATCCTAAACAGTAAATTATTTTGTTTGTGATCATTGCTTTGAAGGTTATCGAATTAGTTTATGATCTGTAGACATGCACTATTGTTTTTCTGCAATTACATGTTCTTAGCTGATCCATGAGCAAACTTTTTGATGTATTTGATTGTTAGAACAAGTAGTTAGTTAGCGTACATATTTTCTGTATTCTTGGAACATTGGAAATATGTTCCGTATCCTCCATAGTTCTTGTTTGGTTAACTGTTTGTCATCATGATGTATGATGGGCGAAATTTTATTGCATTAGAAAAATCTTGAAAGCCGTAAACTATCTATTTAAACTTGAAGTATCACTGTGCCTCTTTTACTCTCTCCCCTTTAGGCTTTACAATAATGCTTTGCTGGTTTTTGGCGTGTTTAGTCATGTTGATTGTTTGATAACCAATATTGTAGTCTTATTTTATCATTGCTGCAGGTTGCATTACTACCAAGGAGTTGGGGACTGTGATGCGATCACTTGGTCAGAACCCCACTGAGGCGGAACTCCAAGATATGATCAATGAAGTTGATGCTGATGGAAACGGGACCATCGATTTTCCTGAATTCCTTAACCTGATGGCTAGGAAGATGAAAGATACCGACTCAGAGGAGGAGCTTAAAGAGGCATTCAGGGTGTTTGACAAGGATCAGAATGGTTTTATATCTGCTGCCGAGCTTCGCCATGTCATGACAAACCTTGGTGAAAAGCTTACAGATGAGGAAGTTGACGAGATGATCCGTGAAGCCGATGTTGATGGTGATGGACAGATCAACTATGAGGAGTTTGTCAAAGTGATGATGGCCAAGTAAAGGGCCTCTCACCAGGATCCAAACAATGGGGAGAAAATGGGAACAGGGCAATTGTGTTTGCTAAGATTTCCATTTATGAATAGGACGTCAATGTATTTTTTTCTTTTTATGTTATTGGCGTTTGTTGGATGGTTATTTGTTTTACGTTTACATTATTTTGTGGACCGGACCTTAGTATTCTGTTTGTTTGCTCTGTTTTTTGTTCAGTAGTGCTGTTTTAGCGTTAGTATTTTTATGCTGTTTTCATTCGAGTTCTTGGAGCGGGAACCTGGAACAACCTGAAAGATTCTAATGTATTTTGCATCACGGTTTACAATGTCTCGAGGAAAATTGAGAAATGAAATCACTACAGACTTGAGAGGTTGGGAGACTATATATCTAGACGACGATTCATTTAAGATTCGGTAAACACGAGTTGTTTACTATTCAAAGAGTTCTTTTATGGAGAAGCTCCCTGGAACTGAAATAGAGTTGAAATCAAGATCAAAATTTTATTATTTTCAAGTTTGAAAAAATGGCCGACGGCTGGGGAACTAGACAATGGCAACAAGATAGGGTGACGACCGACTGAACAAAGAGAGCGTGTGTTCGATAGGAAAAAAAAGTGTCGAGTTACATACTTCGAATATTTGATAATTATATGGTCATTCATTTGTAAAATGAGATATAATGCCTAGAAATATATATATTTATGAAACGAGATACAATGTCTAGAAATTTAAACTTGATATATGAATTCATCAAACTACACAGATTGTTGATATCTTATTTGAGACCTCCATAGCTAATTAATAAAGGAGCAGGAGTTTCTAGAGTTGGCGTAGTGTATTGTGCTCAGAATATATTCACCCATTAATGTGGAATTTCGGTAGGCATCAGATGAAAAGTTGGAAACGTAGCAGGAGCACTAGCATTATTGTCCCTATCGTCAAACTTCTAATTCCATCCACAAAAATGGATATTTTTCTTTAAAATGTTTAAAAGTTCATTGAAAAACAAGGGTTCGGTTTTTCAGTTCCTTTTACTACTTTTTATTGGTTTGTCAGTGTTTTTTCTTCAATAACCGTACTGTTCAAACTACGGTTGTTTATTATTAGGATTTAATCGAATTAATCGACTGAATCAAAGTTAATTCCTCAGCGGCAATAGACTCACTTAGCGCATGCCAACTCGGTACGAATGAGCTTGGCAGCATCAACCATGTTAGTAAGAGCTGGCTGGACTTCGGAGTATTCGCGTGTCTTCAGACCACAGTCTGGATTCACCCACACAAACTTCCTCTCAAGCACCGCAAGTATCTTCTTAATACGGTCCGCAACTTCTTCGGTCTATGGGATCCTCGGAGAGTGAATGTCATATACACCAGGACCAATTCCAGCTCCGTATTTGACACCCTCGTGGAACACCAAGAGAAGCTTTTCATCCGATCTCGAGTTTTCGATAGTGATCACATCCCGCACCCATGTCTATGATCGAGTGAATAATGTCGTTGACATTTGAGTAGCACATATGGTGTGAATCTGTAGCATATATTTGCATTATCATATGTTCAGAACGGATCCAAGCATTTCCTCTATGTACATTAAATTTATTTCTATGTTCGGCTCTTATTTTTCATATAGTACCTAGATCCGACATTTACAGCCGAACCCAGAGCAGCGACGGCTTATAAGTCACTGACAAACCATCTAGAAAGAACAATGGTATATAAAATGGTGAAGGCTTAAGAAATCACGCAGTTTATGTCAGATAATGAAAGGAGGACAGGAATTAGAAACCTGAGTAGTGTCTTTGACCCCACAGTTTGTAATCCTGAAGGAGTGAACAGCCCATTCTATATAGAAAGACTGCTCAGATTTCCTAAGAGGTAAACCCTCTCTTAAAGCAGCTTCATCGATCTGGATAATAGTAATGCCAGCCTTCTCGAGATCCTCGACCTCGTCTTTAATGGCCAACGCTATCTGGTAGGACGTTTCGCTCCTGAAAAACACGGGTACCGGGTAAAGAATAGGATAACATTCTGCATTATATGCCTACTTTTCCATTTATTCACCTTTGCTGGTCGTTTCTGATAAATGACCAGTTGACAATTGTAACGGGGCCTGTAAGCATTCCTTTCATAGGCCTTTTGGTCATATTCTGAGCCATTGAAGACCAGAAAACAGTCATGGCCTTGGGACGGCTCACATCACCGTAGATAATAGGTGGCTTGACACAACGGGATCCGTATGACTGAACCCACCCATTCACAGTAAAGACAAAGCTAGATAATTGCTTGTAACATCCGCAATACCGGGTTAATGACCAAATTGTAAAGTTTCAGAATTTGGTGACTAAAGTATAAGAATGAAATAGTTCAATGATTATTGGATATATATGATGAAGGTTAATTAGTAATTATTAAAGGAAATTAAGGGTTAAATGGTCATTTGACCAGAAAGATTTTTATCTTTCTTTTAAAGGTGATATAAACGTGGGAAGGGTAAGAAGAAAAGAAAGTTCTGGAGCTGGGTCATTTCCTTCCTCCTCTCTTCCCGTATGCTCCATGGCAAAGGTAAGTTTAATTTCAGTTGGTTAATTCTTGAGTTTTAAGCTTAGTTTTGATTCTTTGGGTATTAAATAAGCTTAAGGAAAGCTTATATGGGATTTAAACAAGATAAAGGAATTATGAAGGAATTTGCAATATGAGTTTTAAGATGAAATTTTGATATGCTATGGTTGTTGAAGTTTTATGGATGAATTTGACTTGTCATCAATCTAATTAAGAAGTATGAAGTGTTAGAATTGGAATTAGAACACATTGAAAATTTGGTATGATTCTTGAATCTCATATGGAAGATAGGATTTTGAGGTTTAAGATGAAATAAATGAATATAGATTGGTTTAAGTAGGTGTACTAGAGTTAAGAATGAAAAGGGGATGATATATGAAGTGTTTGAGAGGAAATGAAGTAATTTTCGAGTTAAAAATATGATTTCTGGGCAAGGGGAATCGGTACCCATTCAAGGGGAACCGATACCCCTTCAAACGAACAAAATTTCCAGAATGTCATGAGGGAATCGATACCCCCTTAGTAGGGAACCGATTCCCCCTAAAGGAAAAATGTGAATATTGGTTTAATAAGTTCGTTTAAGTTGCTAGTATCCAATTACAAGGTGTAGGTATCTAATGATTGCCTCAAAATGTACATTTATGTAGATTCTGCGCGTAAAGCAATTCCGGAACATTTGGCAAGTAAGATCGATCAAGGGAAAGATAAGAGATTGAAATTGACTAGTGAGGCCAAGGTGAGTGCATACTAGTGATATGTAGTGTTTAATGGAAATAAGACTTACGATGAGTCTATTTCCTAGAGTAATATGCATGAAGTCATGGACATGATTATGTGTGGTTATAATTATATGTGATTATCTGTATTACATTGATTGTATGTATGCATGACTAAAGATAATGATATGATTTGTATATGCTATATGATTTATGTAAGACTTTATTATGTAATAATGGAAGAACATGGAATAAGTTATATGATAGAGTCATAAGAAATGAAATGAACATGAGAGAATAAGATAATCAAGTATAAGTTATATGATATGGTATAAGTGATTATACGAGAAATGTTAGGAGACTCTAAGAGAATAGTATGAATTCGAAGGCATAAATAAGGATACATAAGTAATATAGGGAAGATTGATAAATTAAAGGAAACTATAGTTTATGTATTATAGTGAAGAGCTACAAAGTTTTATTAAAGAGTATTGTGGAAGTCATGAGAAATTGAACTAAATAAATAGATGGTTTATGTGAGTGGAAAAGGAAAATGATATAAAATAAATGGAAATTATTTATAAGATAGCAAGAGACTAATTGAACATGTAATATAAACTTTATAAAGGAGTACTTGGGTAAAATCATTATATGATACAATTATAGAGTATTACTATACAAATTATATTAAAATATGATATATGAGAATATGAGTAAGTTTATAGGATATTGATAGGACATATAAGAATATTTAAATGTATGCTGATATGAAAAAGGGAATACAAAGAAATGAAATAAGGTAGATCATATGATATCTGTTATTATATATATATATGATATATGTCATCAGGTAATATGAAAGGACTCTGAAAATTGATATAAGCTACGTGAAAGTGTTCTAGGTGTTTTATATGTTATATGAAGTATATGATCTTATGTAAACAAGATATGATAAGTATGTTTACATGAATAAATGTGATTGGGTGAGAAATGATAGAAATTATATGAAAATATGATATATGTGACATGTGAATTATATGGAAATGATCTACGTGTAAGTGAACTATGTGACTATGTGATAATATGAAAAGAAGCTATGTGATACGTGATATGTGAAAGTGAATTACAAGTTTATGTGAATATTTGAAATGAAATAAATGATAACGCCCATGTTATGTGTCATGAGAGCTAGGGGTATAGTTGGCATGCCAAGAGTCGAGGGTCTACGCGGTCCTTCGGGACAATATGTATATTCTTTGGAACATGTGTGAAATCTTGAAAGACACATACTTGATCCCTAGTATATGTATATGATTCTTAAGGAATAATATGTGGTCCTTATGGACATTATTATATGGCACTACGGTGCAATTCTACGCGGTCCTTCGGGATATATATATATTATGTGGAACATGTGTGAAGTCTTGAAAGACACATACTTGATCCCCTAGTATATGTATATGATTCTAAAGGAATAATATGTGGTCTTTATGGACATTGTTATATGGCATTACGGTGCAATTCTACGCGGCACTTCGGTGCAATTATACGAGCTGTGGTGACAGCATTAGTGCACAACCTCTATAGACTCACATATCGATAGTTCTCACATATGTACATGGGCTAATCCAGAGATATGAACAAATATATGTTAGTGGTATGATAAATGTTATAGAAATGATATGATGTTGTGTGTGTATAGTGTTTGATTGAAAAGGTTAACCATAAAAGTATGTGATTACATGATAAACTGTTAATGATGAATTATGTGTATGTATGTATTTACTGTAATTAATCTGATATGATTTTATATGATACGAAGAATGCATGGAATTGGTATAACATGATAGAACAGAACATGCATGTAT